ATGAGGGATTATTTCCTTTTGATTCATGACATCTAACTAAAAAATGCAGATCTTCCTGATGATGCTAACAAAATGGCCAAGAAAACAGTATTTTTCTCTGCAGCGTGTGCAGGATTTTTGGAAGGTAGCAATATGCTAAACTGATTGTGTCACTAAGAAATACACATTTCAGCAACATCAGTTCTACTTGATTTTCAGATAGAGGTCTTAACTTATTACTGTTGTTTTGTACCTCTGGACATAAAACCTGTACTGTAATAACAGTAATTTTTAATTTGTGGCTAGTTTGAATTGTTTAATAAAAATATACTAAAAAGAAGTTCTGATAAAAGGCAGACATCTAATTAAAACGGGAACAGAACAGTTTATATTTCAGTTCATAAAGGTGCATCTAATTATAGTACGAGTAGATCAAGAGGCTGAGCTACAGGTGCCTTCTCTCATCTCAAGACTGCTGCAGAGCAGAGAGCAGTTGAAACCTGCTGTTGTTGTAGGCACAGGAATGCACATAAAGTTTATCAGAGAGTCATCTCAAAAGTACTTTATGGACCAAGAAAGTGAAAGATACACACATACAGGAGGCTGCAGCTTCTCAGGTGAATACACCCAAGCTTCGCCTGTGTTATTACACAACTGATGTCCAGATGCGTGTATAATGGATTTAACATAATCACCACGGGTGCAACTCCCACTGAGGTCACCTCTTAACTGAAGCAGGTGTCTGCTGAACATGGACTGAGGTAGACAGCAATCATGTCTTACTACGCAAATATTAAAATTGTGGGGATTTAGCACAACACAAAACCAGACTAAAAAAATAGCTGTTTATGTACCAATGATGACACCTGAAGTAGTTCTTGAATACACTTAATATTTATTCATAACAGAACTATAATTGTAGAGCTCCTGCAACATGGTTGTAATTCTATCAAGAGTACAATGTTTATAGATCAAAAGGCAAAACAAATGAATTTTTCTTAACACGCATAATTTGTGATGAAAAACAAGTTTGCTTGCTGACCTATATTCTTAATAAAACAACAAAATTAACCCCTTAAAAAAACCCCCAAAAACCTTGCTATCTAACACTATAGTTTTGTGACTTTATCTGTCTTAAAAGATTCTCAAGTGCATTGTATAGGTGAAAACAAATAATTATACAAAAGGCAATACGATAAAAAGCTAGTATCACCGTGATTTCCAACAGGCTGTAAATTCCATCACCCTTTCACTGTGTTCCTTCTGCCTTAATTTAAAACAGCAAAGCTATTGCACGTTTCCCTATGAAATAACACTGCCAAGAAACACAGAATTACGGCCACTATTGTCTAAAATGTACGGGTCAGTAATAATGCTTCCTACCTTTGATAGCTGTGGATTTATCTCCTTTCGCTGCCTGTGTAAGCCATATTGGGCTGTGCTGGTAAAGCTCTGCTGTTCTGTCTGCTGATGACCCTAATCTGTTCTGCAGCTACTGGAAATCATGCTATGCTGGTGACAATACGGGTCATCTCCGATTAAATCTCCTTTTGTCTAAGTACAGCACTCAGCACACAGCACCAGCAGAAAACATACTCCGAAATCAGCTCTATTCTTAAAATAAAGTTGCAGTTCTGTGCTGTTACCTATTACAGGACAACATTTTGAAGGTTAGTTGATGAAGCAGATGAAGATACTAGCTTTTAATTTTCAGGCAACTGGATTCAAAGTAAAAATAATATTGCAGTGTCGTCCAAGTTCTCAGCTGTCCATTCTACAAAATCTAGCATAAGTAGTCTCTGGAGGTACCCAGGAGCTGCAGAGCAGAATTCAGGTACGCTCAAGTTTTAAGAATCTTGTGCATTACTTCCTATTTTAATGTGTTTAATAACTTTTGTCAGCTCTGTTACTTTTTAGATGTTGTTATGATAAAATAGCATGATAATGTAAAACATTCTGTCCATGGTTGATGAGAACATTGAATAAAAGTTTTAAAAACACCTAGGTGACACCAATGGCTGGAGCCTATTTTCAGATGTTCTAAAGTCTCGTAGGTGCTTCTGCTTCTTTGAAAGACGAGGGCGACTTGGGATGCCAGGTAAATAAGGGCCATTATTGCAGCTCACTTTGCAGCCAGGGAAATACCATCTGTGCAGCAGCACCCTGCTTCCATTTGTTCTATCTATTCTTTCACAGAAAAAGCAGGGCAATTGCATAGCTTGCTGAATGTCCCTCAAAACTTGCAATTATAAACAGAGACAATAAAACTGTATAGAGTATCAGCCTAAGGAGGTTAAGTGCTTCTAGTACTTCAGCTAAATAATTCGGAATATGACACAGCTATAAAATGTAAATAAATTCCAAGTATAGATTCTGATACATGCTTCCTTACTGCCAATTTCACAACACACCTACTAGATTTTGTTGCAGCTGCCACATGTAAATGAGTTTCAATCTAGATAAACCAAAGCCGTTATCTCAGAGGTAAATAATATTTACATAGTCTCAAAAAAACGCCATTAACAAATACTCACTCACCCAAATTATGCTACTTGCCATATTATAAAACAGATTTCTTACCAGAATATCCACAAAGGTGAACAGGCTCTAGGAATACTGAAGTTCACAGCAAGGGCCAAGTGTTTAATTTAATTTGGTGTAAAAAGGATTTGGTACATGATTAGGAAAATATTTGCTACATGCATTGTTCCTGTTATTACATTCTAGCTGATTCAGCTAGATTATACATATATATTATCTAGCTGACACTATTGTTTTAGTGTTTTTAGACTTTTTGATTACAGGACTATCAAACCTTTCTGGAGAAAAGTAAAATGTAAAAAAGCCATCTTGTGTTGAACTTCTTGTGATATGCATGTCTGAGAAGAAACACTTTAACTTAACAATGTTACTGTTTTACAAAACTGCATTTTTTTTCATTATAATAACATACGTTGTAGTACTCTTTCTAGTAGATGCAATATGAAATTACTGTAATACACATTGCAGAGGCAATATAATTTTCAGCCTACCTAATAGCTTCCTATACATAAGGAGATCCTTCATTTTGCCTCTTTCAGTGTGTCTCACCTTGCTGCGGGCTGCATAAACTTCTCATATTCATGTTTTTTTTGGTTCAACAAGTTGACTTGGCTGAACGAAGGGTGTGAAGACCACCATCTTCAGCACAAGGGAAGAAGTAGGACAGCACAGCCAGGAACAAGAAGGCAGGCAGGCAGACACAGGACTATTACCTTTCACCAAAGGTAAACAAATTAGTTCAGCTTAGTTGTAACATGTAACCTCACCTTTAGAATAATTCAATTTTATGGCAACACATAAAGCAAAGCTATCGAATTATTTGAGAAAGAAATGAATGGATCCTATGCAAGTGAAGGAACAACCTTCACCTTAAGAAGTGGAAGGATTCTAAAATGACTCGGTGCTTTCACACAAGCTCTGTTGGCACTCTTCAGTTCTTCTGTAAACATGAACCTCAACAGGATGCTGATCTTTTCTTTGAACCAACTGTCAGTACTAGAGGACTTTGCAAGGTTGCAGTTACTAGCACTGGGTGCTTGGTTTTACCGTATATGACATTTATTGGAAATATGCTAGGCAGCACAGTTTAACTGCAACTATAGACCACAATAGACAGATCAGCAATGTTGTAGGAAATGGTGGTTTAAGTTCTTTGTTTTTTCTAAAACAAACAACTGGTTTACATTTACAGTTAACTGCTGTATGACTGAACAGGTGCTGACACCCATCGTCAGCAAGATGAAATACTTCTCAGGTAAATTAAGCCCTTTTAAAAGTACTTCATTTCTATTGCTGACTGAAGTGGTATTATTTTAGTGTTCATATAGACACAAGTTGTTTCAGTGTCACAGTAAATTTAGGATTTTGCTTTCTTCCATGGTAGCAGCTTTCACCATTTCAGACTGTACCTTGCAGAACATGAGGGTAGTAGGCAGTTAGCAAGGTGCACAAACACAAACCTTTAGCAAGTTTACAGTGCAGGTGGGTACATAGAAGCTAGACAACTACACACCATTGAAAAAATGTTAAACCCTGTAGATCTGTTCTTAGAATGCCTTACAGATAATGTAAAACAAGTTAATCCAGTATACTGCTGTTTTAGCCATCCCAAGCCTGTTTAAATTAAGAAGCAAAGGACAAGGTGAGTGTAATTTACAGTAAAAAATACTAAGTTAACACCAAAATCCCACCACTGGTACGGCCAATTCTTATATCAAATCTGAGGAAAAGTGATTTTTGCATTCCTTGTTTCAACTTTTAGATACAAATCAGGTAAGCAGCTTCATTCAGAAGAAACCTTCCATTGGCATGTAGCTATGTACAAACAAATATCTGAGAATTCCAAGAGCAGTGTGTTTCCATTCAATGATGCAAGTGTTCAGTCTCAACAGAAGAGGGCATTAAGCTTGCCAAGACCTCAAACTTCCAACTACTGTAATTTAAACTTCTGGTTTTAAATTTACTCAAATGGCATTTCTGGATGCAACTTGCTTTAGAAGGATGCTTTAAAGACTTGTAGTGTGTCCCTCTTCCTGGCAGACATCCTTAATAGTTGTGCTGGAGTAGTTAAGGGTGACAGGAACATGAAAAAGTAATCCAAAATAATTAAGACCGTGAACAGCAAGGAAACCTAATGATTTATTACTGAGAAGAAGGTGAGCAGTGAGAACAAAGATTTAACAGTGCCATCCTAAAATATCCTCCAGGCCATTGAGCTTTGGATCTAAAGCTTACTCACTTCTGTCCTATTTCTCAGCAGTTATATGGGTGAGTTTGAAGTTTTACTGATTTAAAAGCCTAAATCTACAGATAAGGTAAAACATGAATCCAATCCTGCAAGCTGAAGCAGGTAGGGATCTGGCAGAGACCATGCCACCGATCTGTTCACATCACATTCAACCATCTCTGCCCCTTCTGCCCCCCCTCCCCTCTCCCTTTTTTTTCTTCCTAGTCCTTTAGCTTTGTCCCTCCAGCTGTAGATCCTTTCTCTTGCCCACCTCGTCTGTTCCTTCCCACCACCAGAACGCACAGCTGCTCTGCTGTACCTCAGGTCACACTCACCATGTATTGGTGCATTCATCCATAGCACCCTACATTCATCGGAGCATTGCCAGCCACAACATACGGACCCAAACATTCTGTTCTCTTCTGCTCTCAACAACAGTGAGCATTAAACTCCCCATGCAGAGACACATCCCTCAACAGGTAAATTGTAGTGAACAAATCTCAGTCCAAGTAGACTGAAAAATCTTTCCACAGGATCTAGCAAACTGAAATCTGGTCCCTAGTTACTGTGTCAGAGTTGCAGAAAATCAGTTATTAAGAAGCAAAAAAGACCACAGCAGCTGTAAATGTGCATTGAGGATATCCATTTCAATAAAAGAAGCCATTAACTCCGCAGTATTTCTTCATCTTCACTCTCCTCATTTTAGGTTACTCACTTAACAGTTTAAAAAAACCCCAAATAGATCAGAAAGTTTCAGGAAATAGCTGGAACTCAGATAAAATTTTATTTAAAAAGTGCCACATACAGAAAGCCAGAATGAGAAAGCAGGCATATAAATAAAATAGAACAAAAAATAATGATGTTTCAAGAAGTTGTTGAATGCTTGCAAAAATTAATTTTTTTTTCAGTGCACGGGCAAACTGTGAGTTCATACTATGCAGTCCTTAGTGCAGAAAAATTAGGAAAAGAAAAAAATCTGCTTTAAAATGCCAAGTGATGCTAATGGCTAAGCAAACATTTAAAATCAGTTTCAATCATTGCATTTGTATCAGAAATTATGGTGCAGTTTTGCAGAGGTTTCATGTACACTTTTTGAATGGAAATGCTATTTCAGTTGTATTAACGTCCTGTAAAAGCATGGCAAGCCTTGATGATTTCAATTTTTTAAGGTAGTCTCAAATAATTTTTGTTAGAAAAATATTTAGAATAGTTAAATTTTTAGAATTCTTATATTTATATATACACCTGTTTTTCCCTCCTACACAAATCTTACAGAAGATTGTGTTCCCATGTATTTACCACTTAAAATAAGCTCTGGTTCTCTAGAGAGCAGACGCTACTCAACAGGCAATTCTGGTATAACAGAGATGTGCTGGAACAGATGACATTACCGTTCTTAAAGGCTAAGAGAGAGTCCTGAAGTTACTTGTAAGCTTAGAATCAAAATTCCAGGAAAAGCCGCTGGCACCAAAATACAAGCATCATTAATTCAGGGCCCTGTCCATTTTTCCTCCACACTGAAGGAGCCCCCTGGGTCAGACAGCCCCTGCTGAAGCCAACAGGACTACCAGCAGGCTAGTGCACTATGTAAGGAAGGATATCAAGATCTGACTGTTAAGTTCCCACAGCTGATGACTGGTGACAGTACCAAGAATCTACAGCGAGTACCACGAAAGAAACACAAACTGTAGAAACCTTTTTATTCTCAAGATTTTCATTTAAAGAGCCCTGTATTGTGAGGGAATCAGTTCAAAAGGTAAAGGACCTTCTGGAACTTAGAACACTGTGTTTAAATGAAAGGACAACACAATATTCAGCTGATGTAACAGGTTATTTTTGGATCATGATCAAGTTAATGAGTGTATCATTAACGATCTTTAATATCACTTCCTCTTATGTTTAGGTATCTCTTTAGCCAACTTCACAAAGGGTTCCTAGTCCTTTAAGTGGTTCTTTGAAATTTTGAAGTGAACACCTATCGTTCTTAGATGCCTTAGCAGCTTGCAAGATTTTAAGGCTCTATGCTTATAGTACCCCTTTATTGAATGGGCTTTTAGAAATGTGCTTTATACTTATTCCAGAAGTTTAATATAAAATTTTAAGTTACTGCATGCCCAGCTCATCGATGTCACATTTAGGAATAGAATTTAGGTCTTGGTAGATAAGAGACACTTTTATGTTTTACCTATATTGACTGAAAAGCAATTTGAGTACCATGTTAGCTCAACCAGTCAAACAAGTTAAAAAGCTTATCAAAAAATATTTTGCACATTCTTTTGTATTTCAAGCATCAAGTAATAAACTTTCTATTAAATCAAGTTGTATCACACAAAAATTAACAGAACAATGCTGGAACAAACCATTCTGCTTCATTTTGGGCTTGGTCCCAAAAGAGGTAGTCCGTAAGTCACACAAAAATAAAAATTCCACAGAAGTTAACGTAACATGCCAGTCTCTTCCACCATACGCAGCCTCATCACTAAATGAGGGTATTTCATATCCGGAAAACATTATAAGTTAGTGTTCATGTAAATAACAGGAACTAGAAAACTATTTCTTCATCTGTAACCAAAATTCAGTCCAGCTAAATCAATATATTAACTAGGCTTTGCGCATCAGCCTTATGAGTTAAGAATTCAGTTTTTCTCCAAATGAAATTTGAGACGTGCCTAATACACAGGTATGCCTTTAAATAACAAAGGATACGTGTATTTAGGTTAGGAGAGACGCTTCAGACTGTTAAATGTTGTTAGTAATACAGGTATATTTACTATCATTTCTCTACAAATGCTGCTGCTGCCATTGAATTCCTCATGGTTCCTCTTGCTGAAGCTGCAAACTCTTCAATTTCAGCATTCAGTCTATTAATTACCCATTCCAATGCTTCACGGCCCTACAGTTAAAGAAAAGTTTATCAGCGTATAAATCTTAGCAAGTAAGTTAAACCCTGCTTTACTGAAAATGACTAAAGACACGATAGTTGAAAAAGGAAGATAAGGTACAGAAATACACGCCTGATATTTTTTACTTCAATAACCAGAGTAGTGCAGTAGCACGTGCTGCCTTACATGTCATGACAAAATTCCTTATGTCAGCAGTGCTCATGCTATAAACCACAAAAGACTTTTTATCCAGATTGTTTTATCATTCTTCAGGCTGAACTCAACACAACTTTGGATTCCCAGAGGGTAGACTCTCAACTAAAACACCACTTCATTACTCCCATGTAACTACTTCAGATCCATCTGGATGTGTACCCTTTTTCAATAGCACAGATTAATAGATGGCATCAAGAGGGCAGCAAAAGAGTGACAATGCCAGACTGTTAAGTGAGCAGAGATGTTTTTCCAGTGAAGATTCAGAGAGCTTTGCTAATAATAATTTATTATCTCCGTTCACAAGAGGATAAGAAAAGAGGAAGTTCAGCAAGGTGAGTATTCAGTCTCTACAGTAAAGGCAGCAGAACTATGTGGACCCTTCCTACGACTGGTGACAAAGCCAAAAAAGAAAACAGATTTTTTTTCCCTTTGTCATTTAGCCAGTGGTCACACATTTTAAACAAGGGTTGTACTTACTTTATTAGCATTGGAGGAAATTGTGTTTGCCATTAGCCCTTCAAGGTAACTGCTGAGACTGACACCTTTTACAGATATTATTGCTTCTTGTGTCAAAATGGTTCTGAAACAGAGAGCAGGAAACTGAATTATTCCAAATAGTTTAAAAAAAGAATGCATTGCTAAAAGAAACTCACTCCTCCCCAACAAGTACATTACCTCATCAGCTTCGTTGTGTAACACTGAACTTCTTGCCCCATAAACAAAACCCACTTCCACAGTGCTTGACTGCTTTATGCTTCTACTCATAAAATAAAAAACAAGAGTCCCCACTAAGTCCAAGTGCCCCTTTGTGGCACTAAACTATTTCTGTCTTTAGCAGCAGTAAGTTAAGAGTAGAAACACCAGACTTGGGGCGAAGATATACTGGGAAAACAGTATTAACACATCCCCTTCTACAACAGGGATTTAATATTTATGACTGTCATGAGAGAAAAAACCTCTTATGTTAGAACCCCATGAAAGATCCTTCAAAATTATCACTAGTTCCAGGAGTAAAGACTCAGCAAGCTCTGAAGTTGCCTTAAAAAAACCCAACCAAAAACCCAAACACCAAACATCCAAAATTATAGACTGAAGGCAGATAAATGTGCCTCTAGTGCAGGTTCTGTGCTCAGGCTCATGAAGAGATGGGAAATAAGGAGCCGAGTACACAAACTCAGTTACAGATAGGACATGGGACAACTCCCTGACAAGCTGATCTGGATTCCATCACAGCGTGACAGTTAAGTTTCCCAGCAGTGCTCTGCAGAAGCAATGTCACTAGAGAAAATGACGGTCCGTTTAATTCTATTTTAGACAAGTTACCATAACAAAGGTGATGTAAACCTCATCTTCTGTTCAAGGGCAACCATGGGAATTTTCAAAGACAAAGTCTGCCCTACTTCAGGGCAATCTTGGAACAAAGAGGTACTTACTTGTCTGGTTCGTGAGGGTGCGGTTTATAGACAAGCCTCTCATCTACTGACACTAGGTTTGTAAATGAAATCTGTGGAATATAAACCAAGATTACCCCTGGATAAAAAAATGTAGCAAATAAACCTGCAGATTCGAAACTAATGCCTAAAGCCTATTTAAACATTATACTTTTCCTGCAAGTATTAGGGTTGTAGAACAAGATAAGAGAAATCTCCAAGTTCAGCATTTGCTGATCTAGTTAGCTTGCCTCAAGTTGTTGGATCGTTTACCGATATACACTACCACGGTTGCAAGAACATTTCAAGAGTGGGATCAGACAGATGGAGTACTACAAAACGCAAAAATGTTACATGATTAGGGAATGGTGACAGCGTACACCAAATGGCTTCTAAAATTTTTTCTGAACACCCCCCTGTCCCAAAACAACTCCTGTCCTGCTCATCATCATGTTCAGATGCTTCAGTGTTGACAAGTTCCCAAAACCTAGTAGCTCCCTTCTGAAAAACAGAACCGGTCAACTATAAACACACTACTTAAACCTTTAACTTGTATGGCTCTAATACAATTCGCCAGTCGTTTTCAAGATTGTTTTCCTTTTGAAATTCACAAGGAATTATAGAATCATAGAATCATAGAATGTTTAGGGTTGGAAGGGACCACTAGTGGTCATCTAGTCCAACCCCCCTGCAGTGAGCAGGGACACTGCTAACTAGATCAGATTGCTCAGAGCCCCATCCAACGGAATTATGATCATCTGTAATCAATTTCACTTGCATAAACACAGCTACTTACATTACTGGATTTAAGTTCCATTGTTTTTTTCACTGGGTCCACAACAGAGTGCTCCTGAACATATGTCTTTGTTCTGCACGCGCCAATGAGCTAGAAGACAGGCAAACATATATGGAATTAATTATGCTAACCAAGTGCAATACTTTTAGTGCCTTTAAATGCTTAAGTAGCGACTACTGCATTGAACAGACACCGAGACAACAGAATTAGGGTTTAGTTTAACATGAAACTATTCAGTTGAGGTAGATCTCATTTTTAAGATGAAGCAATCTAAGACCTAGGCAATTTTTGGCTATCACTTAGTCACTATGTGTACAGCTGTTGTGCTTTCCTCATACATGAATGCTTACATTTTTAAACCATTCAACTTATGAAGCGATACACATCTATTACAACACCTGGTTCACAAGCTTCCCCTCCCTCCGGCATCTGTTTCAAGCTCTGCGAAACAATACACACCGATTTCACAATGGAGGGTATTCCCCATTCCGTACTGAGGAGCCGGTGGCTGTGCAGCTTCCCGCTAGGGTCCACGTGTCTGTCCAGGACATCGACTCCAACCACACTGGGGTTCATGGGATTTGGGTATTTCTGCATAGCAGCCGTCGTCACTGTTTCCCAGGGGTGACTGGCAAAACAGAATTGAGACACAAAGTTGTACACCTTCAGTTTTTAACAGGATTTGTATCAAAACTGAACGCAACACATCAAGCGATTCATATTTTCAATCTAAGTTCAATTTCCAGTTCTCAACCCTACAAATATCCTTCCCTAGAGGAAAACATCTATTTCGTGGATTGGACAGTGGTACACTCATACATGTGATTAATCATGAGGTCAATTACCTTCTGGCTTATAATTTGATAAGAACATTTTCCCTGTGACATAATGCTGAAAGCTCGCCATTTTTTTTTTTTTTCCAGTTTCAGTGATACTAGAGTAATTCATTAAGCTGTTGCTTTCCTCTAATAACTATTTCATTCGGATAATTTTTCATCGCAGGTGTTTCGGAGCACTTGAGCCCCACAACATGAAGCGGCTCCCCCACAACATGAAGCGGCTCCCCGCGCTCTGCTCAGCCCCACCAGGCAGGGTCGGCACCCAGAGGACCCTTACGGCGGCGACACGGCAGCCGGGCCCGCGCTGCGCCGGGGCGCCT